AAACGGAGAAAGGACGCGGTTTCCGGCCGGACCGGTTCCTCGTCAAGAGTGAAAATTCTTCGTCACCCCGATCCAAGCGCCCTCGAATCCGTTCCGATTTCGCGGCTCGTCGTTTTTCCATATATTCCAGCACGAAGATCAGAAAGCTGGCTACATAGACACCGTTTCGAGCTAATTCCAATACCTCGATCGATTTCACCGACGTGGTACAGACTCGTGATCGTTGGAAGATCGGTGATAAATTTCTGCAGGCATTTATCAGATATTTGTCGAATATTTATGGGATGAAAACGAGGAGATTTTTTCGAATATTTCATCGATCATTCGCGTGATTCTTCGACGTACGAGGAGTTTCTACGATTGCGTCGAGGCCCTCGTAATCGGTAATTGGTCCCGAGACACGGGTCGCTGGACAGTCCTCGAGGTGCCTGATCGAAGGCCTTGCCGGTTTCCTGTGCGATCTCGTAACGCAGCATCCTCCGAAAAGCGAATATTTTGCAACTCGATTGGCACCTTCCGGTAACGCGAATCTCGTAATAATTAGTCAGAGTGGATCGAGAGCTGTCAGGGTATGGATGGAAGCAACGAGCGTGTAAACGAAATCGGTGGTTAAGCGTCCGTAGAAAGTGATTAAAGACCGTGGTCGCCTTATTATCGAAAGTGGCAGAAACGCAAACAGACGTGGCGGAATAATTGCGATAGAAAGCAGGAGCAACGTTCAATCACGTTGTCCGTAGATTATAGGGCAGATATGTATTATTTACGAGAAGCGACATAGACGTCCTAATTCTGGATCGTACTCTATTCCGATCAATCATTGATTGACAATCAACAGACGTGTCTCGGGTTCTTGCTTTAGATTAGGTTCAGATGCAAGATCAAAATGGTAATTCGACATTATTCGCTTCCAAATTCAATTTCCAATTTAAAAATCGTGCTCGATGATGAAACAGCGAGCTTTGGAACGAGTCCAAGTGCTGAAGCAACACTCGAGCAGCGAAATTTGGAATATCTCCAAATTCGAAATTTCCAACAGCTCTAAATCCAAAAGCCCATGTCAGAATCGCGAAACTTTGTACGACTCTAAATTTCAACGAGGAGTTGATCCTCTTCTAGCAAATTTAATTTGTTTAGACAGATGTCTGATCGTTTCGTGAAAAGAATTGGGTGCTTCTAGACTGTGCACAGAAAATCCTGTCTCGAAAATTCGAAGTCTCGAGCTGTGAGTCAGTGGTCCATCGTGCTATCAATCTTCCTTTGAACGCTCTAAACGTAGCAAGCAGACTTTAAACGATTATTATATCTCTTACCTGACAAATGTCTCACGATGAGGATTCATGAGATAATTAGGACGCATCGATCCTCGAACAATCCCCCATTGTTTGTTTAATTTATAAATCGTTTAACTTTGGCAAACTGCCCTGTTATCACCAATGGCTACTTAGCTCTGTTCCCATCGCTCACTCTCGATTTCTTTTGCAAGCATCTGTTGAAATTAAATATTTAATTTCCTCTCTCTCTTCGGTGGGGGAATCCATCTTTTCTGCTCCATGATTTCGACCTACCTAATCGATCCGGGTATATTAAAATTAGCCCCAAAAGCCGCGGACCATGTCATTTTCAGGCCATTGTTGCATGGCCAATGTCGTTTCACTCGTTTCTCGAAAACTCATCGGATCCTCGGTTCGGGTAATTAAGAAAAAAGAAACGGCCAATAATTCACGGGTTTAGTGACCCGCCGGTGAAACTAGGCTTCTGCTAGATCCATTGAATTTTATCGCTCCTGGATGGTTTACCGGCATGCCGTTTCCGGTTCGTTTAACGTCGTTCGGAAGAAAGCAGATTCGTCGATGGAATCTTCAAGAGGTTCCTCGGGATCCACACGATCCTCACGATCCTCCATTCGTCATTGGAAATCGTCGAACAGAGGATTCTACCGCCATTTTCTCGATAATATAGGTATTAACTATAACCTTGATGCACCTTGTTTGAAGAATAAACGGAATTATCACGAATCTACCACGAAACAGAAATCCACCGGCACGAAAGTTCAGCGACAGTGGAAAATCATTGGGTCGCGAACGGATTTTCTCTCGAGAAGTGAAATCTTCGGCAAAATAACAATAATTACATTTAACAAAGAAGAAACTCGGTAACAATGATTTATTGCGTATTGGATACTCTTTCTTTCGAAAATTCTCGGCTTTCTTAGAATTCCAGATTTTTGCTTGGTCTGATTCTGATCTCCACTGCTTTCTATTTTTAATACGATTACTGCCATAGGCGTAGCAAATTTCACCCTAAAATGCGAAATATCTAATTCAATTTTATTCCGCAGACAATTTAATTTTGTTCCACCCGTGGATAGAAAAGAAATAAATTTATACCAATTTATTTTGCACATTCCGCCCATTATGATATTTAAATTTCGACACGTATGTTTTTCCTATGCTCGAGTAGAAAACTTAAGCCGTGTTATCTCACAATCGTCGTCTAGAAGCAAGAAAATACCTGCAACGCGTGCTGCAGTATCGAGGTAACTCTTATTGACCAGTCAACGCGTTAACTCGGCCCGACGTTAATTTCACGCCTCGCAGTGGCCACACCAAGAACGTGTAACTTACCAACAGCGAACAGATAAATCGTCCGGTTCCTGCTTCTGATCCAATCGATCTCTATCATTGTTCCCTCCACGAGTGGTACACCGCCGTGAACAGCGATGGAGAAACGGTGTTCGTGACTAAGCAGCGGGCCTTAGTCCGCGATGTTCCCCGGGCCCGTTCCACACCTGTCTCGTCCCAGATCTCTGGAATTTTTTCCCCTCGGCCCACCATTTTGTAATCACCGAAACCACTGCTGTTTAGGAACATTCGAAAGCCACGTTCAACAAACTCCATCCAAATTTATCAAATTTATTATATTTATTGCCAAGAATTTTGGACAGATTTGAAATTTTATTTATTCACTCGGTCTCGCTGAACAGGCGAAAAGAAAAGATCTTTCGAAAGGTTCCAGAGGAGACATTTAAATTACCAGTGTCAGAGGGAAATGAAACGTCCACAACACGTTGTGCAACGAAATTATTAGCCGCGCGCGAAGCCGATAGGCGCAACGCTCGAGATAATAATCGTCGTTGCGTCAATCACGGTGTCGTCTCGATCGGTGACTCTTGAACCGCCAATACAAATGTCCTCTTCGCTTTGCGACTGTTTGCTTTCGCGACAGCTCCTTCAGGCTTCGACAAGCTCAACTGACAACGCGATTACTCGCGAATCTCGAAAACCCTCCATCGATCTCTTTGTTAACAATGCCACGAGATGGATCAACGCGATGACCCGGTAGAATCCGGGATTTTCCTCGTATTTTCTATTTTTCCCCCATTTTCCACGGTTGGTCGAAGGACGAAGCACAGGGGTCCTCGTTCGGCTTGCCGATCGTCGTTCTGCGAATAATCGCGGACGAAGAACTCGCGGCAGTGGAAAGTAAAAGCGTGGCGAGGCGCTCGATCCGTTGTGCAAGAGAAGTCGCGAAACGGATCCGGATTTACTCACTGCCGTTGGGAAAAAGCGCGAGGAAAATGCGGGATTTATCGCGAGATTTTTCCCCACCCCTGCGCCTTTTCGCAATCTGCATACCGTGGGGATCTAAGCCTAATCTCGGAGGTCGGTACAGAGCAGAGGAGCCTAACTAGGGAAGGAATAAACTGGGTTATACTTTTATTCCGCTTCGAGATCTTGAACACTCATTTTACCCATTTTTTCCTCTCATTCCCCGATCGTTAAAGGCTGAATCACTGGCTGTATCACGTCAATGGAGATCGAAGAAATCGATTATTAGCTCTTAGCGGGAGCCTGGAAATAGGTTTGGAAATAGCGAATGACGAAGGGAGATATTGGTAAATGAAAATTCGAGATACGTGATGTAATGATAGTAATAACGACGATAATCGATAGGCAACGTCGTGTCGAGCGTGAATGGGCCTTCAGATGAGGCGCCTGGGGCAGGAAACCCGGCGGGATTAGCATACAAGTAAACACGGTGATTGTGTAGAAAAGAGAGGCGTTAGAAATCCTTTCAAGGTCTGACTTTCTAATTCACCTGGAGTTTTCGTCGCTCCTACGAGCTGCACGAACTGGTTCGCCAAATGTCCCTAGACGGCACTTTTCCAGAGCTCTTCGAGACCTAGCTGCAGCTGGATTTTCGAGTCGCAAATGTCACGCAGGTACCGACTCGAATGCCTCTCGTTGCTGCAAGTCTCTTTATTTCGCTTACGACATTTCGCGCGTAACTTTGCCGAGGATAGTTTCTTGATCCGGTTCACGCTAGAGTCTCGTTGGCTTTAGCACGTTCGAATGCGCGAAATTCGAACCTGTTATTCGAGTCATTTTAACGGTAATGCGAAATCAATGTAGGTAGCTAAGTATCGAGTACCGCGTTACGGATGAGGTCTGTTGAAATATATAATTTGCCGCGGGAGTGTGACTAGTGTTATTTAAACCGTAATGGCGTACTATTTCGTACGACCGGTTGAAATTTTGAGCTACCCGCGTGTTATTATAACGATAATTTCAATATCGGGAACACCTGTTGCAGAAACGCGAATGGTCCCCCTCGTGGTCGTCGATTCTTTCCCCAACGCACCTGGGATTTATTCCAGAAGCGTTTGTCAACTTTACGCCAACTCGATTCGCTTTTTCCGACGTCGGTGAACGTAACGTTAAATTTTTACGATCGAAGCGCGTGCGCGAGTGTCGGTGGCCATTTTTTCCCTCGCAAAGTGGTTTATCGTATCGCAGGATACCTCGATCGACGATTATAGCAGGGAGAGTCGTAAAAAATCCGACACGCGTTCCCTTTCATCGACGTTTACGACATCTCGGGCATTTCGATTTTATTCCTGTCACTTATTTTTCGCTTTTTCTTCCTTTTTTATTATGTTCGTAAAATGACATTAATCGCCGGGTAAAGGGCGCTATTCATAAAACGATGTGGTTTTGCAGCAGGAACCGAGGCAGGAGATAGACACCAGCAACGGGAGCAGCAATGGCGGACGACCGAGATTCGTCCCTGTGACCGCGCTAGAGGACGTGCAGGCGGTACGATGCGCGGAATTCCACCCCCATGGAAAATTGTACGCCGTGGGATCCAACTCGAAGACCCTGAGAATATGCTCTTATCCAAAGCTTCACGATGTCAGGTGAGAAAATTATTTTATATATAACTTCCTACTTATTATTTACAAATTTTAACGCTTTACCGACCGCTAACGATTCAACAAAGATTCTACTTGGCGCTACCCATGTAAAACTCGATAAAATATATAAAAATGTATAAAAATGTGGGAGCTTACGAAGTAACGCAACTGAGTAACGTACCTCAATACTAAATAACAAATTATTGTTCGTATAATAACAATGACTGTTGTAATGATAATGGCAACCGATTAACCCTTTGCACTCGACAGGTGAGCTTCAGTCACCATTTTATAAAATTTGGAAGATCGATATTAATTAATACGTCAAATTTAATGTAATGTAACAGTGTGCGAAGTATCGAAATCAAATAATTCTACAATTCTATTATTATACAATTCTTTATTTACTACTCAAAAAAGTTTCGTCAGTTTTTTAGTAGGGAATCTTTGATTTTCTAGCCGAAAAATCTAGCCAAAAAATCGTCGAGTGCAAAGGGTTAATAGGTTATTGGTCAGTAAACGTCGATAACAAAAAGCCGATTAATAGGCTATTGGTCGGTAAAGTGTTAAGCACCCTCTTACTAATTTTTAATTTTTAATTTGTTTCAAATAATTCTTCCTCTTTTTCTTTTCCTTTATTCGTGTTCAATAATTCGAGGAAACGTCAAAATCTCTCGTATAATTAATATCTTGCATACCTTTTATCTTATTATACCTTGTTAATGTACCGACGATTAATGTACATTCTTTTCTGTCGGAAAATCACAACAACGCGATAATTTTTCGTTCGAGGCAGCTGCATTGGCTCGGGCTGATCTTCAATTTACAACGTCGAAGTGTTTATCGCAATGCACGTCAGCCTTCCCTCGAATATTATTATTCATCCAGACCGACTGCCTTTCCCCTCGCCGTTTATTCGCAATTCCGTATCATCCATCGACATGGCGGTTTCTTGCCACCTCTCTCTCTCTCTCTCTCTCTCTCTCTGACAAACACGTAACTCAAAAACCGTGAAAGCAGCCTGGAATAACTGCGAATGCACAGAATCGAGCATCGAGCCATTCGCAGCTCGCGTACATTTGCGTTTTTATTCCGACGATCAATCATGCTGCACGCGTGTTTCGAAATGGGATGTCGCAAAGTGAGATCTTTCGAAATTTGCATCGGTGTTGCAAAAAATCGGATGGAAATGGGGAAAGAAAAATAAAGGGATAAGCGCGACGCGGGTGACTCGTATCGCCTAAATTGCTGGGAATAATCGTAAATTGCGGATTATTGATAAAGCTGTCGTTGTTAACGAGCACGGGGGAAGGATTCGAGAGCTGTGATTAAGCTTATCGATAGTCGATCGAGATTCGTGTTCGCGCCAATTTAACCTGGATAGCTGTGAGTTTCAACGAAGTAATAATTATTCATCGATACGTTTCATCGTCCATTTTATAATCAGTTTATCCCTCGAGAAAGGTCGAAGATTGTTCCACCTTTCTGTTCAATTTATTTCATTGTCACCGGTAAATTTGGGTATATTTTATAATGCGAGGAGTAATATTTATCTGACATCGGGATCCTCTCTTCATCCACCATTTTTATTATACTCTTCATAACGATGGATAATCCTTTGGCAAATTTTGTATTCCTGCAACTATCCAGCTATAATTCATAACTAAACTCTGACTTGTGACGTCTACGTAATCAGGGTGTGCATAAAGGATATTAATTAAAGTAATATAATAGAGAAATAAAAATTATAAATAATTATGCTTCTCATTGAAGAGGAATTAATATTAACTTCGCGAACAGTAGTTGCACGTTTCCAATAATTTTAAAATAAAAAGTTTCAAATAAGTCATTTTGACATCCTTGGTAGTCCTATTATTAATGTAGATAAAAATTAATAATTCGTTTGTAATTATATTTAATATATTATAACACGTGCAAAATTCGAAGAATTTCTCAAATTTCATTTCATCATGAATGAAACTTGCAGTATTTTCACGAGTCTGACTCTTGATGAAAATTTTAGGCCAAACTTGAATATCACGAGTCAGGCTCGTTATTTAATTTCGGGCCAAACGTGGATATCACGAGTCCGACTCGTGATCGACATTTCGGTCAAATATGAATATCACGAGTCTGACTCGTTGTCGACATTTCAGGCCAAACATGAATATCCCGAGTCTGACTCGTGGTTTTAATCTCGGGTCAAGTATGAATATCTCGAATGAACTTACGTCTATCTCGCAGTCAGTCGTAAGATATCGTGTTTCAAATTCCAACACTCGGGATGTCATTCGGCTCCTCCCCCAACCCGCATGGGTTTGGCATATGGGGGTTTTGGGGTTAACAATAAGACGTAGAATTATTTTACCTCGATATTCCACGCATCGTTGGGCAATTTTAAATTCCAGATATTAATTTACAACGATCTTTAGAATCTGATTAAATGGCGACCGAGAATGCAAATGGTTAAATCTTACTTTAAGGGGTAAACCTTTTAGCCCTTCAAAAGCCTACAGCACCCGTGTGGAAAGAAGCAAAACATCCGAGACAAATGATTTCCCCTAGTTTAGTAACTCCGTCAAACGGTAAATTCCTGGACTCGCAAATTGCCGCAAGAAGAAATCGACACGGCACGGTCACGATCCTCGCTTTAGTTTACGAGGCATTTCGATAGCTCGCGTATCGTCGTCGCTGGAAACGCGTTCGAATCAACGTCGAGCTGGCTAATTTAACGCAAGCCTGCTGACTTAACGAACGACGGAGGCCTTCATACCAAACGGAGCATCCCTCGATCCTCCGCGCGATTCTTTTATTGTCCGCCATCGCGATCTCTCTAACCGTCTCGCGCGTTCCTTTCGGCTACCCTCCGACAGATCTCGATCGAGATACCAAACCCGGGGCCCGTGAAGTCCTCATCCTCGTTGACACGCTTTGTTTAACCATTATCCACGCTCCCTCGACGGCTCAATTTCTCCCTGACCGCTGATAAACACAGCCAATTTGCCCCAACGCGAAATTTCATGACTGTGTTCAGACTGTCAAATTTTTCGCCAGCTATGCGAATATTTTAATAATAATATTTTAATATTTTAATATTAGCGGCGATCTAACGAATATTTTAATAATACTATTCGCGGTGATCTAACGTTCTCTATATTTCAAATAAATTTCTACCTTTTCTTCGGAGTTGATCGGTTTGGAGTTTTATCAGCGAATAAAACTCGGTTTGCGAATATTTTAATAATACTATTTGCGGTGATGTAACGAATATTTTATTAATATTATTCGCAGTGATCTAACGAATATTTTAATCATATTTTTCGTAGTGATCCAACGTTCTTTATATTTAAAATAAATTTGTACATCTTCTTCAGTATCTAAAAACTCGATGGTAACGAAAAGGAACAATTTTTAGATTTCTAAATGCATAAATTGTGCGTTTAATTACTCACTATAGTGATGAATATTTACTCTGTGGCAGTGTTCGAGGTCCGTTGATGAAATCGATAGGGAAATTGTTCACGAGTGATCCACGAGTTATCGTTGCTGAGTTAGAAAGTGTTGCGAATTTGATAAGCACCGAATACGCGTTAAGTTAATTAATTTTCTCGGATGACTATTGAAAAGAGTCGTTCTGTTTACTTTATTGGTCTAGCGGCTAGGCCAGCGTAGCTCGATAGCGGGCCCGATAAATTATATCAGAACTAGAACTCGTTCGTTCGCATTTTTCGCTCATTTCGCAGAATTTTCTATCCCAGCTGAAGTGAAAGTGCAGCTGATCAATTTTACTAATCACACGCGTGCGTGTATCCTCGTCTTATATTCTTCTGATCGTGCGAACGAATTAGTTTAACGCCAAGGCCAACTGCTTGCACTGCGATTCGTTGCTCCCATGGTGGAAATAATTCACGCGTAATAATTCACGCGTAATTCCGCCTCGATATCTGGCATTGAACCTCTACATCGACATCGAACTCCATTTTACGCTGCGATAATTCTCGAGCGTAGTCGTGACGAGGTGGAAAATGGAAGGAAATTGTAAAAACCCTGTGAAATACGACGGTTTGAACGGTACACGATCGAGATCGTTTCAGATCCTTGCGGGATCACGGTCGTTGGCGTAATTCTCGTTCACGCCCGCTAAATAACGAAACGCGCTTTCCACCGGCGTCGCTTGTTACGTTACGCGTAAAATTAATATTTAACACTCGGTGAAAGTACCGAGGGATTACGGGGCGAGTCGGAGATAGGATCAACGAACGGCCATTACGAAAATTTTCTTACGAGAGCCGCTTTTCCCTCATGTTTCACTGGTCTATATTCGAATTTGCGCGCGACAGGGATTGGGCCCGATTGATGGATGGCGGTTGTCAGTGCTGATCGCTGGTTTCCGTGCTCGCGCACGTCTCCGTGATGTGCGTTCATGTTTGAAACCACGTTTAACCGCCGATCCTTGATCCTCGGAATTCCTAGAAGCCGAGAATGTACTCTTAAATCGTGCTTGGGTAATATTCCTCATCGGACGTCGTCGGATGGTGAGAGGGTGAATTGTTCCTGTAGCAATCGAGTATATTTCGTAAAATTAATTTTTGTTTGGCAAATTGCTACGTTTATTTCTCGATTCTTCGTTGTTTAACAATCGGACAAGGTGAAAGCTGTGACATTTCGCATTTGCCTTGGCGATTACGCGTAGACTCGTCTTCGCTGAGCAAGATTCTGTCAAGAGAATCCACGGGTAGCTGGTTGCGTAAGTCAAGCGTGGAATTCAGTGTAGAATTAAAACACGACTATTGAACAGTGTTTTTGACGTAGGAAATGGGGAAAAATTGGTATTTGCGCGTGTACACTTGTTCAGATATTCTGTAATTCTATGTCAGCGGATAATCAGGTACAATGAGCGTGTTCAGTCGAATTTGAAACGTATCCAGTTTGGAGGGAATAATTTTTGCAACGTAATATCGGGTTACGGCTACGTCAAAGGCTAGGTTTGCGCCAAGTCGGTCATTAGAATGCCGACTGATCGCTCAATTATCATCCGCACGAGAACAGTTTACCTTGTCAGGTAGCCTAGCTCGGACTTGACACTCGGCAGCGAGAAATTGAGAAATCGATCAACGAGACAATCGTTTTTCTTTTTTCAACGGCGCCATTGATCGACACTGTGATCGTTTCGTTAGTTTTGCTCGTTTTAAATTCGCGTTACGCTTAGTTGAGAACTGCGCGGAGAAAACGCGTTTTTCGTGTCACTGGATAAAAGGAAACTTGGGAATGAAGCACCATGGTAGTTTTAAAAATGGGTGATAAATTAACGGAGCCTCGTAGAAAACTCGGGATACGTTTAAAATAATGAGAAACGATATTTTATGTGGGATATACAGGGTGTTCGAAGAATCGCGGTATGACCGGCAAGGGGAGTGACTCTTGACATAAAACTGAGCCAAAAGATTATTGTTTCCATTCCTAAACAATATTAGTTAGAATATATCTAATTTTAGCGAATTTTAGCAAATTTCAGTAATTTCCAAGCGTTGAAAATGTTGTGCTCGATATTATACACAAAAATGCTTATTCGATGAGTTAACGAAATGCTAACTGAACCTAATCAGATTTTTTAACTTTTATTAATTTCTATATAATATTGTATTTCAACTGATCGCCATTTTGATTATTTTTGGCATAAATTATTTCTTTGAAGCGACTCCAGAAATAAAGAGACGTGTCTATGTGCATGTGTGCCTAATCAATTTTGAAATCTGTATGAATTTATACATTTTTTAATTTTAGTCTATATTTTTGGCTCAGTTTTAAGTAAGGGATCACTCTCTCTCTTTCTCTCCTGTGGTATTACGATTTTTCGAGCACCCTGTATAGCAAGATACATCTCGAGACAAATATAGGACAAGAAAGCATGTTTACTCTCGGATCCATGTGCAGACTCTCATATTCTTCCTCCGGTCTGTAATTATACCGCATAAAAGTGAGGTAATAAATTCCGGGACTTCCTGCTCACTGCCATTGACACGTGAAACACTATCAAAAAGTGTACACAAGTCCGCGACTTTCGCGAAAACGCGTCGCACCTTTCTCCGAATTCTCTTCCTCGAGACGGCCACTCGAGGACTCTCGACCCACCCCGCAACTTTCCTCGAGACCCGAATTCCTCCGCGGCTCAGCCACTTTCTTTCGCCTTCAAATTCCCGGATAATCCGCGGGAAGGACGTGGTGGAACGCGAAGAGGAGGACGGGAAGACAGGGTGCCTAATACGCGAGAGAACAGCCTCTCGAGAGATCTCTCATCGCAGATCCATCCGTCAAGGCATCCGTGTTTTCCTGCGACGACAGGCCGGCAACGACAAGCGTTTCACTCTGTCTCTCCGTGTAAATTGGCCACGTGGAACGTGATAAACGCGCGGCCCCGTGACAGCGGTTGATTGATAAGCGAGAGCGTGCCTCTTCATTTGTCGCGAAGCGTTTCGTGAAACGGTATCACCGCTAACTCTCTTTGCCAACGCTCTTTCCGCCGAATGCCCGCTTTCGAAAGGTTGTTTCACCAAAATCTGGGACCAGTGGATTCAACGGGAACCTCGGAAGATCGGTTATTTGCTGCTCGATTTTCTCCCCATCGTGGTTACCTTAGTCTCCTGGAACAAAGTCTCGCTTGGAACAAAGAGTATGGGAATTGGAACTTGGTTCTTTCCTTCTTTTCGGAATTTCTGTATTTTGCAGTGATTTATGCATTTTTCGGAAGCCAATGCGCTTAGCATTTAAAAAATAAAGCAATTATGTTGCATTTATGATATTTAACCCTTTGCACTCGAGAGGCGCCCTTCAGTCGTCATTTGATAAAATTTCGAAGATCAATATTAATTAATATGTCAAACTTAAGATAACGTAACAGTTATCAGTTGAGAAATTAAATAATTTTATGTGTTAATTATTATACAATTTCTTATTTACTGCTCAAAATAATATCATCAACTTTGTAGCAAAAGATCTTTGAACTTTTACTCTTCTTTGGCCAAAAAATGATCGAGTACAAAGGGTTAACACCTTGACTGCCCACGTGATTTTTATATAGCACGCTCAGGGTGTTATGATAAAATTTCCATTATTAGAGTATAATGATGAATTGTCGAATATGGCTATGAAAAAAAGAAAAATGGTGTCAATTATTAAGGTTTTCTGTTTAAAGTTCTGTATTTCAAATATTGGTTAGGATAGAACGAATATAAGTTTAAAAAATTGGTATTAAATTAGTATAGGGCACTAGTCACCATTATGGTCCCACTGAGGAGACAAGCGCCGGTCACTGATGATGTGACATTGCAAAGTATTGACACTGAACCTACCATGGTCTAAGTCACCATTTACTAAATTTTTATTAAAAATTCCGTGTTTAACGTTATCATCTTTTTTTTTCTTTTATTATACGTATAGTCATTTTCTCAATATCCTCCATTATTCCATTTTTTAAAGTTTCTACTTCTTTTCCATTTACCAATAATGGTCATTTAACCATTGTACTTGTTTATTGTTAATATCAATATTTACCACTAAACTTATCATAGCTACCATAACTATTTTTCAACTTCCCGATTTAAAATTCCGCATTCAGTATTATCTTCTTAATTTTTCAATATTTTCTCCTTTTCCCACTCATCGGTCAATTTTACCGGTCACGATAAATATTTGACCCACGATGGTCAAATATCCGGTGAATGAAGCGGAACTAGAACCTTCTGAAATTGGAATAAGGGTGGCATTGTGACAATGGTTTTACTTGTATTGGAAGTACTATCGCGATTGGAATTTTTAACAAAAATTAAAAAATCGGCGATCGATAGATCATGACAGAGTTTAGCCTCAAAAAACGACTGCTTGGACCACGATGATCTAAAAATCATCTGCACCCCGTTCACCACAGAGTCAACTCGCGGAACACGAAAGCAATCGTAGCTAATAACCCGCAGTTTCACCGTAAGGAGCCGCAATTTCACGTGTATTCCTCTCGTCGAATTCGCGGTGAACGCCTCTGCGGATGGAGTGGCGGTTTCGGCGTGGCTCGAATCTTCGGTGAAAGTAACGCGTACGATTCTAATGGAGCAATTGAAAATCCCCGGTCCGATTGCCGCGGGTCGGTAGATTGCCGGCTGGCCGATAATTTCCAGCACGCGATGTGCTCGTGTTTCCACGGAGGAAAGTGAAAGAGAGCAGCGAACGAAGAGAACGAGGTGAAACACAGACGCGGCTAAGGATCCAGGTCTGTTTTTAATCCGCGTGTACCGCTGCGCGCGGATGGGAAAACTCGGGGGGGCTAATTAAAGCCCGCGCAAAAAGGGGGCCGGCGTGAAAGCGGGCTCCTGTTTAAAATCCTATCGGCGATACGCCTCTCCCTCGTTTCCACGGCCGAAACGCGATCCCTGGTTAGGTATTGCTGCTTTAATTAACAGCGATGCGCAATCGTTGGGAACGTGGAAGAAAACGAGGTTGGAGGAAAGTGACGCATGAGAACGAGCGACGTCTCGGGTACCCCGATCGTTCCTCCGAGTCGCCGCCATATTTCGTTTTGTTGCTCTCCGCGGGATTTATGACAGTCCGTGACGCGAGTAAAGGGAAAGTCGTAAACTTTTGGCAAATGAAATCTGTCCGTCTCGTGTTTGAACCGAGCCTTGAGATAGCAGCGTTGTAAACGTGTCATGAAAATGACGAAAAAGTTTGACAACCGAGATGACAGACCTACATATTTGAAAGTGCGAATTAATTTCGTGATAGATCATGTTCGTATCGTGATCGATAGTAATTACAACGTCGACGTGTTCTTATTGATGATTTCCATAAATGGACATGTTCCTGTCTCTCATTTCGCTCTAAATCTTGACACTTTCACGGGCCCCCTGTGCGAAGTGGGATTAAAAAGATTAATTTTTGCGTGAGTTTTTTGTGACACGTTTATGCAAGTCTATCTAGGTAAGGAGATGAGGATTTATTGGACGGTAAATACTGTTATAATTCATTTGAATATACAGGGATAATTGTGACGTGTTGGAAGTAGAGTAATAAGCGATTTAACGGTCGACCCGATGGCTTTGATTCATCTCGCTGTTTATGGGATCGAAAAGGAAAGCTGGATGAAAAAGCAGGCAAGAGTGAAACGACTCGCGAGTAGCGTGATTTTGTTTAGCCGTTTTAGTGATACTTGCTCGGTGAAATGGAACAAGCGTATTTCAATTGTTCGCTGAAATTAATTGCACGTATTCGTTTTTTCAGGGAGGATCATCAGACGTATCAGCCCACGGTTCTCTTCAAGAGAACGAAGCACCACAAGGGCTCGATATATTGCCTCGCGTGGACGCCGGACGGGCAGCTGATGGCGACCGGAAGCAACGACAAGACTGTCAAGCTGATGCGCTTCAACGCCGACACATCGAATCTCGAAGGTACACCTGACTTCGTAATCTCTCCCAAAATTTCCTCGCGTGTTCGTTAACTCCGCTTTTCGTAATACTTATCACGACTTTCACGCCAACGGTCGTGTTACGTCGATTTCTCACACGCTGCTCTGAAAATGGCGGTCATTTACGGCCAACTTCCTGCTTGTCACTCTTGTCCCAGAGCGTGGTAACTCTTGCGCAACCGAGTCCCCTCGAAAAACTTTCTCCCTTCGAAACGCAAGTTTCCTCACCATTTCTCGTCCCTTGCAGGCCAAGAAGTCGAGCTGACGATGCACGACGGCACGGTCCGCGACCTGTGCTTCCTCGAGGACACCTCCAACAAGTCCAGTCTGTTGATCAGCGGCGGGGCAGGCGACTGCAAGATCTTCGTCACCGATTGCGCCACTGGCACACCATTCCAAGCTCTTAGTGGTCACAGTGGCCACGTGCTCACCCTCTACAACTGGGGTGGAGCGATGTTCGTGAGCGGGTCGCAAGACAAGACTGTCAGATTCTGGGATCTTAGAACGAGAGGGTGCGTGAACATGGTCACGCCAGCCACGGTACCTGGCAGCAGGGTTAGTTTAGCTCCTCTCCAAAGGAGATCATGTTTCCTAGAATGTAGAATGAGGAATCTGACTGTCGAGTCGAAATCGTATGCGAAGAATTATTCCAAGTCTGTTTTATGGGAATTTATTGGGTCCTCCTGCTATCCCTGTTGTAAAGTCTGTCACGACGTCGACCGCTGTACTTTTATTGTATGTTATGTAACTTGTTGGGCATACGTGTATAAAATTATTCGATTGCTTGGACTCTTTACGACGTTGTACGATTCACGATTCACAGATTTGTATTCACAGATATTGTCTGGGTTCGTTTCTTGGTTCTTGTTTTAATTTTATACGCATTTGCTCGCCGATTATAAAGCAGCGGTTTAGATCTAGCTGATTCCGTCGTGAATGAAATTTACGTTAGTTGAAATAGAAGATCGACTCTCAGATTCGTCGACTTGTTTCTCGATTAGCGCTTTCTTCCCGTCATCGACCCTGTTTGGGGGAATTCTTTCCAGTCCAGATGTACGCGTCTTATTTTATGAAATCCATGAATGAAAGATGTACCGATTGAAATTGAAACGCTTGTAGATCGACGGGGAAAGGATTTCTATAGTTCATAACGCAACCAGCATGCAACGACGACATCGAATTTTTGTTCTTTGAGTTTCGTTTTTCTGTCCGACGTCCGATAAAATTTCGACCCACGTTTTTTAATCGCACCGATCGCCCCCGCCCCTTCACCAGTCGCATCTCTTCTCTACTTTCTCTATAGTTCATAGTCTCTGTCTTTGTCTCAGGATCGAATTTTTATCGGACGTGCTCGAGGAGGATCGTGAACGGAATCAGTATCGCGTGTCTGATCAGCATTTGATCCCGTTGCAGGTCGGCAGCCCGGTAGCGGCGCTCTGCGTCGATCCATCCGGACGTCTCCTGGTATCCGGTCACGAGGACAGCAGCTGCGTCCTCTTCGACATCCGGGGCGGCAGAACCGTGCAGTGTTTCAAACCCCACGCCGCTGACATCAGAAGCATACGCTTCTCGCCTTCTGCATACTACCTGCTCACCGGTGGTTACGATAACAAGCTCGTTCTGACTGATCTGCAAGGTAAAATCTGAGAATCTTGGAAATATATATGCTCTTGATGACGATAGTAATAATTTCTCAATTTGTCGTAGGTGATTTAACGATGCCTCTGCCCAGCGTGGTCGTCGCGCAACATCAGGACAAAGTAATTTCCGGGCGATGGCACCCGACGGAATTCTCGTTCCTCAGTACTTCCGCTGACAAGACAGCGACTCTGTGGGCTCTGCCACCTGTGTAGAACCTGTGCTCATGGCACACGTTTGTCGTTCATTCGTTGCATTATTTTTTTTTTTTTTTTTTCTTTTCTCCTTTCCCCAAGAACAATGACGCTTACCCTGTCACGATCGTTCGTTCTTTTCTTGTTATTTAAATCGACATTTTACCAGCACGTGGTTTTATAAAGCAGAACAGAATGCGAAACTAAATTTCATTTTTTAACCGTGAAACGTAATTTATTTTAATTTATTTTATTAATCCGAGAGAGAAACGCACGCAAGGGAATAGGAAATCGTTGCCGGAAACGAGAGAACGAGCGATCGCGTTATCGACGCGCGAGAGTACTAAAACAGGAAGAAAAGTTTCACGTGTTCGCGCATAATTCAACCATGACCAATTAAAAGCTTCCTGAAACACGTTGCGGCTTGCAGTCGAGCGTAATCGAGACGCAGGCCGCGACGATGCGTGCGAGAAACAATTACAGCCACGCGGAGCAGTATCGTTAACGTGTTACTATGTAAACGTTACACGCTTCGAGAGCCTCGGATGAGAATGAGTGAAAGTGCATTTTCGCGTACAGACGATGTGTCGAACGTTCTAGGCGTTAATCGTTTATCGACGAGCCGTCGTCGCCTAGTAGGAATCATAAGACTGCGGAAGGAACCGACGAGAAAACTGAATCCTTGGGGATATTTAATACGTCGAGTCACGATGGTGAAACGTGCATCGTTCGCGAGTGAAACATCGTAGCTTCTTCTTTTCCTTCTTTTTCTTTCGAAAGTAACACTTTTGAGAGTTAACGACACTGTCGCGAGCGTTCAGGTCGACCGTGTTTCTTTGTAGATTCATCGTGTAACGTTTGTCTCCCTTATTTTCTATGGAGTTTCTTCGCGGTCGTGTGTTTTGTCCCGGTGTACATACGTTTAGCATAGAGTTAGGAGCGATGATCGCGGGAGACGAAAATCTTTCTCCCTATACAAGTAATCGCTCTTCGTAATTTTTAGATTCCGAATGCTCTCTTTCTCCGTTACGCTATTACCCTTCGTTGCAAATACTTTTAGAATTATCTGCGAATAATATTTGTGAAATCCACCAGCGATATTGGTCGATTATTCCATTCGTTTTTGTCTTTTCTTCTCTTTTTCTTTTCTTTTTTCGTTTCTTACGTGTTAATCGTATTCGCTGCGTATTTGTCTCCTTTCCGTTGTTCTTCTTTCTTTGAATCTCATCGAACAAAGCGTTTCTTCCCACCAAATCGTCGTCCCTGTCTTATCGATCCCCCGAAGTCACGCCAAATATTCTCATATTACGCATATATTATAATGTATAGATACCTATCTCATATTAAGAGGATCAACATATACGTACGCTCATTATTAATCGCTATTTTTTACCAAGAGTATAAAGACGATAAACGAGATTCTCTCTGAGCGTATCGGGGAAAAAAGGAACATAGAAACTCGAAAAGGAACCCGAAGTTCCGATACGTCGCGATAAACTTAGCACGATAAGCGTTAACGGCGAGGAAGCCTAGGTTTTACGTTTTCGCTTGTCGCAATCGCCAAAGCTGTGTCGATGTAGCCCCGGAAAATGGGGGAAGAGGGAGAAAATCTCGCGCTGCTCGAGATACCAGCGAACGAGTCGCATTTTTCTTGTACATACGCACGTTTCTTCGAGCTATTCGCCTGATCAGCGCAAGCGTGATCGTGTCTCTCCTTTTGTTTCCATTCGCAACGAACGTAACGAGGCGACAAGCACGGTATACCTCCGCTACGCTCGTCATCCGCTCATCTAGCAATCTGGAAGCCTCACTTGGGAACCTTTCGTATGCAACACGCCCTATGCAAACAGAGAAGACGAGGTACGTGTGACTCATGGACTGGCATGAGAAGCAGCGATAAAAGAGATACGGAAACGCGACGTTTGAGCGATCCGAAACGCGAACAGTCGCAGGAAGAACATGGTCGTGCTTCATCGCAAAGGCGAATTCCGTTCCCGTGCACGAAGCTGCCCTACGACCGATTGTTTCCTTTCATCCGGCGTTTCATCGGCCGTGTACACCTGTAGGACTCGCTCCTCGCGATCGAGTGAAGAGCTGAGAGGAAATAGGAAAGAAACGAAGCGTCCGCGAGAACGCGTGCGAGCATCTGCTTCCGTGTAGCAATTTGTCGTGCCTTCTATCGTGACTGCTTTCGGCGATTCACACTTATTTTTCTATTTTTCGTGTCCTCCCCTCGACACCCCTTTCCATTAACCCTCGCACTCTCTCCACTCACGAGTTTCGATCACTATGAATCACGAACATTTCGACGACCCCGAAATATCTTCACCCCTTCATCGAACTCTCGTATAAACGCTGAAGTAAAAAGGAAAATCTCTCTTCGCTATCTCGTACGATAATTACCGTATTATAATATAAATATATATACATATGGTATACATATAGCATAACTTATAACTTTGTACTTTTCCTGTAGATACGACATAATACTGTCACGTCTAATTTAAACAATAAAATTTACGTTATTAAACGATGCGCACTTTCATCGTTCTGCGTTGCGCGGAATCGAACTTTTTACTATATTATGGATCGCATATCATGTTTAGCAATGTATTATGAGGAAATTGAAATATGTATCAGCGATGGAAATGCCTTTAATCTACAGGAAATCTATCTGTAACCTAAGCGAGGTATATATCTTAAGATCTTGATCTCGATAGATAAGGAGCTGGAAGAAATCTTGAACGGTGAAAGGAAAAGGAAACGGAGAGTAAATCAGTTGAAAAATCCGAGAAAAAGGACTACATTCAAGCACCTTTCTTCATCCGCGAACAGGAGAAGCTCTCACTGAACAGATTCTTCAGTCGGTACCGATCAAAGAGGCAGCAAGGAAGCTAATCGACCATCAGCCTTCCGGGATTTCCAGTAATAGACGCAATTAACTCGGTAAGACCGATTACCCTCTCGAGTGTTGAGAGGGTGTCGGGTACCTGGATCGTCGACTTTTCGAAAACTTCCCATAATCGCCGGGCAATCATGTAATCATCCACCCGCGCCGCGTTCGCCATTCCTTCACCAAAGGATTCCGTGAACCTACGCTCTAGTTCACGAAACATCGAACGGTAGGGCATCTCGATTTACCCTTATTACATCCCTGAACCAGCAATTTCGCGGGGGGAAAATTCATCGAGCGAGGAATTAAAAGGAGCCGCGTCTACTGGGCACCTGGGGTAAGAGTCTCGATTAATGGATCGTGTTATTGAACGATATCAACGTCGTAATTGTTTAACGTGATTTTTTAAAGTTCTTCTTAATTTTTGAAGTACAGTAGAGTACTTCGTGCATCATAAAATAATTTTCGAACGTGAGATACTCGATGTCGTGTAAAATTGTCTATTTCAATTGCTGAGGTGTCAGGATCGTAATTGTTCAGTTTATTCGTTTAGGGGACGTATGCAATTTCACTTCGAGTAGTATAAGATAATTAGGAAGTCATAAATTATTAGTTCCCAATTATATTACATATTATTCGGTTCAATGCATACTGCAAATAATTCCACAAATCTCATGTCCAAATTCTAACCTCCTCAAGCCCCATAGTGTGCATATATCAATCAATCTACCAAAATTTCAATTAATTCGTCTAAAATCGCAGAGTTATCTACTGCTTCTTATAGAAAAATAATTTTCTCAAATTATATTATATTATATATTATTCGGTTCAATGCACACTGCAAATAATTCCACAAATCTCATGTTCGAATTCTAACCTCTTCAAACCCCATAGTGTGCACATATCAGTCAATCTACCAAAATTTAAATCAATTCGTTTAAAATCGGAGAATTATCTACTGCTTCTCACAGAAAAATAATTTCCCCAAATTTCTGTTGACCATTTCGAGTGACCAAATTGACGAGCCAGGTGAACCAGCACCCTGCGGGAGCAGTTGGTGTCCCGGTGCCATCTTCGAAATTGCCCGGGGACAGAAGACCTCGGGGTGCGAACCCACCCACGAATTTGTTAAGCGGCATCCATGGATTCGACGAACTCGCCTGTGTCGGTTCGCGGTTCACAAATATCCTCGAAATCCTCACCGCGGGCCAGGCAACCCTAATTGCCGGGGCGCCAACGGTCCGTTTCCTTTCTGTTTAGCCCGAGCACCACCTACGATCGGAATTCCATCCCTCGACTGGGCCCGTGGCGCGTCCACGACTCTGCACAGACCTCAAGAATGCCCCCGGAGCTGCCACGGTCCCGTAATCTTACGTTTCAGACGCACGAGAGGGACACTGCCTCCTCGGGCTGTGCGATTCGACGATCGTTGCCGAGTGTCGAACCGCTATGGGGGTCCCAGGGGGACCTGGGCATTTGGAACTGTGATTCGAGATGGGCAGTTGCGGCTTCGGCTGCTTTTTGCCGGTTCCTTCGAATTTTCAGTGCGGACGAGGTGAGGTAGATGGAGCCCTGGTAAGACCAGGTGGTGCGAAGAATTATACCTATTAACGGAATATTTCCAACGTGTTTACTGCTCTCACGGATCGATGTCAGTTAGTACTTACTTATTCTTTCTTATTTTCTTCTCGGTTTTAAATAGGGGTTCGAATTATTTTCATTTCGCGTCAAATCGATTCAGCACCTCGTTTCATCTCTCTACTTTAATATTTTATATATAAATATGGTTATAGTAATTTTAGATAATTTCGTATTATCGTGTTTAGCTAACAATTTTTAACCTGGAGTGAGGGATTCGATTAGGGTCCTCGGTCTTCTATTATTATACTTTAGTACCCTAGCACGAAGAAATTAATTCTTTAGGGTTGTATATTTTGCGTTAATTTTATTTATTTTTGAGTTTCCTGGGTCAATTTTTCTACACCTATTAAGGATCAAGGTTAAGTCTATCAGGATCGATCAAAAGACCCATAGATTGAAGAACGAAGGGGGAAGAATTTAAAAAAGGAATGGAATAAGAGGAAATATTGGAATGTTAATAATAAAAATGTAGGAATGGTTATTTACATAAATATTTCTCCAACACGAACAGTTTCTGTGTAATCAAGGAAACTCGAGATACGAATTTCGTATCGAAGATTGCTATTGCATCGGTTCTCAGTCTCACTGATATCCGACACACGGACGATCCGTGCAGCACTGTAATTTATTACACACTCGTTTGAACATTTTCCTAGAAGGTGAACACAACTAAATGATAATGATAATGATAACGACTTAAATTAATCAGAAATTTCATCCCGGCAGACGACCCCAATTCCGAACACATCCGAAGGGTTTCAAACGTAATTTTATGCCACTTGTCGAATAACACTAATCTGCATAAAGCGTAATTTCATCTTGAAAATAAGGAAAAGGCGATTACGCTGGCTGGGATAAATGATATTTCTTCGACGTTAATCGGAATAGACGCAGGCACGCCACTTGGTATTTATCGATAACACTTTTCTAATGCTTCCTGCTACTCGCAACGTTAACGACCATCATCGAATCCGACGTTACCTAATTCTCTTAATTCCCTTCGAAAGTATAAATTTATGAATTCCTTCAGTGTGAATCACTACAGGCTTAAACGCTTTCTCAAGAGGGAATACTTCGCCTATCTCGTCATGTGTTACTACACTAATTCTTCATTTACGAGGGATTATAGAAAATATTTCCTTTTCTCTCGGGATAAAGTAATTTATTTCGCATGTGTTATGTCTGGAAGTAGAGAAATTTATTTAGGTTACACTATGTCTCACAATAGAAAAGTTTATTTAGGGTACACTTTACCTCACAATAATTTCTTTGGGGTACACAGTGCCTCAAAATAATTTCCTTGGGGTACACTATGGTTTAAAATAATTTCTTTGGGATACACAAGCTTCGAAATAATTTCTCTAAGGTTCACAGTGCCTTAAAATAATTTCTTTGGGGTACACAATGCTTCGAAATAATTTCTTTGGAGTTCACTATGCTTTAAAATAATTCCTTTGGGGTACACAATGCTTCGAAATAATTTCTTTAGGGAACACTATGCCTTAAAATAATTTCTTTGGGGTACCCAATGCTTCGAAATAATTTCTCTGGGGTACACAATGGCTCGAAATAATTTCTTTGGAGTACACAATGCCTTAAAATAATTTCTTTGGGGTACCCAATGCTTCGAAATAATTCCTCCGGGATACACTACGCCATAAAATAATTTATTTCGGCTACAGAATGCCTCGAAATAATTTCTTTGGATTACACACTGGCAAATCGAACACCCACACAGACCCCATCGATAGCACACATGCATGCATAGTAGTCAAAGGCTTAATTTTCGCGCGCAAAGTAAACTATCACCCCACAGAAGGGAAAAAAGGAAACGAAGATCAAGGGATTGTAAAAGGATATAATAGAGGGGAGTAATTGGCACGTGCCGCGAACGATTCCATCTGCGTCGAATTTTGGAAGGAAACGCTCGATACGTAATAACAATAATCAACCGGTCATGGTTCCGGGAAGAATGTTGCGTTCCGTTTCGCTAATAGAGTCTCGCAATTAAAAAGATCGAGGGATCGAGAACCGTAAGCGAAATCACCGAACGCAGGCGATCCTTGGTCCGCCACGACGCGAGCGTCTCGGCGCGTTTTAATAGAAGAGGACGCGCGATGCATTAGGCTAATCGCGCCGTTAAATAATTCATCGGGCGCGAGGCATTCAAATTAATAACGTATTACGGGAATCGCCTCCAATCCTGTTCCAATATGGCCATTGC